CACAACCGCATAAATTATGAATTTTTCTAAAATCATTGCCCAAATTAATAATTTTTAAATGTCCCTAAAATCAAAGAAAAAATTAATAATAAAAATTCAATATGCAGAATGAAATACTAGACTGTAATAGAACAACTCTACTAATAATAAGAGTTATGCTTAAAAGAATGAGTAAATTATAGTTTTTACAGTAGATGCCCATTAATGTGATTGTGGTTAATGTTATCATTTGGATGTTATAATCAAATTACTGAAATCCTGCCTGCCCATTTGCATACAAAAACATGGAAATTACTTTGCTAATTGTGATCAACAATCCAAGTTAATATGATCAAAATAGTATAGAATAAATTTTTTGAACTGAAGTAAAGTCCCAAATAAGGTCAGAACCGATTTTAAAGATGGTATTTGCATGTTATCGCAACCACCTAAGTAAAAATTGCCAAATTTTCAGTAGTCACCAAACTCTAGCATGTGAATAAAACATCCTAGGGTGTGTATAAATATGCATGTGTATAAACATGCTGTGCATAAAAATTTTTTAGGTAATCACATCCATATGCATTGTAAATTCATTGAATCTTTTTTTTCTGTAAAAAACCACCAAACTGTGCCAGAGACCAAGGATCAAGGCATTCTGATTACAGAGTATTTCTGCAAGATAACTGCAATTATCTCCACATCGTTGTTAATAAAAATAAACAAAAAAAGAGAAAGCATTCACTAAAATGAAAGGGATTATGGGAACCATTGTGGTTTGAAGAAAGGAGCTGGTTAAGAGGTTCCTCAGGGACAAGAGTGATAACAGTCTGTACTTAATCTAAAAAAAGAGGCAATTAATCCACTTGCAGTGTAACACACGAGCAGAAGTCAGGAGAGGGAACTGCAGGCACACAGCATGTGCAAGGTTGCCATGGAAATGAGCAGCACAACTGCATGTGTGAACAACTCAACAAAGCTAGTCTTTGAGAAAGGTAAGAAGAGTGTAAACAAAGAGAATTTACTAAAAACCTTGAAAGTGGTCAGGGAAGGGTGGAGAGGTTATGGATCGAAAATGAAAGGAAGAGGAATGAGAGGAGAAAGGAAGAGAGTGGGGAGGTGTCGGCATGTTATTCTGCAGATAAAGCGTTAAGTTGAATAAAACATTAAGTGAATTAAATTTAGAATAACAAATTAAGACTGCAAAACAAATTAAGGAAAAATTAAACCCAAGGTGGTTGTGCTAATATGTAAGTACCATAAAAATTGTCAAGTGACAGAAAAATGTCACCATGTAAAGAATTATTATGTCACCAGAGAGCTTGGTTTTGATTTTAATCAATCATTTAAAACTAAGCACCTTTAGTTTGATATCAATTTTGAGGGCAGTCTGGCACGGTTCCTTTCCTTCAGGAGAAAAAAAAAATTTTTTTTTCAGAAGAATGCCTCTTTTTTCCTTGCTCTTGGACAGGGAAAAAAAAAAACAACATGAAAACATCTACTGAGGTTGCATTTTGTGTCCAATTTCTAATTTTACATTACCATGCTCTCTTTCAATGAGAGATGCCACATTAGAGGTTAAGCATGGGTCAAATAATTCCAGAAACATTATGAACAGTACATAAACAAATTTTTGCCTTTTTACTTCCTTGTACGAAGTAAAAAGGAAGTATTCTAATCGTGGAAAACTTCAGGCAGCATATTTCAACGAAAATATCCATTTTGACTGCTATCGAATACAATTTAATGATATTTTTGCTTGACATCTGTACGTAAGGACTGAATAAAGGACTCTTTTCCCCTAAAAAAATTATAAAACTGATTTTAAATGAATTCTGAAGAGAAATTTTCGTGGTGTCTGTGCGTATGTACGTATCTTGCATAACTCAAAGACGAGTAGCCTCAGAACATTGAAATTTGTATATAGGATTGCTATACCATGCAGATGTGCACCTCGTATTTTGGTTGCAATCGGCCACACCAAAAGTATATAAATATATGTATATATGTCATAATAAAAGCACAAGGAAAAGACGGAACACTGAAAATGCGTGATTAGATCCATATTGAAGACGAATTTTGATTGCGTAGTATGCTAGGAATGCTAACTTGGTAATATCTAAAGAACTTGGCAGTCGAGGCAGTTTTAATTCCATTTTTATTTGCAACTGATATTTGTGGCCACAATCACTTGGCACTCTAGTCGTTATAAATATGTAATGATTTTTAAAGCGTAGATGAAAGCAGTAGACCTCCCAACAGCTTACGATACTGCGTAGATGATCGAGAAGACCGTAGTGGCTTGAAGGTGCCAGAGTGGAAAGCATGATGACGCAGTTTAGCACAACATATCTTGAAAAATCACAATCTTTATTTTTTCCATGCATATCAAATAATCCTTTTTCAGACAAGATACTTCTTAATAATATTTGAATAGATAAATTGCAGTTTGTATTAGAACGTCATCTTAAGTAAGTAAGCAGCAGCAGCATGGTTTAAAAGCATCTTGCCAGCAGGAAAGCTATGCGGTAAAAAGGGAAAGGTTATAGTACTTTGATAGGAAAAAGGCTGGGAGTGGGAAGTTTCAGTTCACAGTTTTGGTTTAGATTTAATTTGATTGGACAAGAGGTATCTCCATTAAAACATTACGTAAGATAGAAAACTCTGGAACTTGTGAGAAGAGATGAATTTAGGGGTAGATCATCAAATTTAGAACGTTAATTTTGAGGTCGTCAATTATTTTTTTTTTGAAACAGCTATCATATTTTGTTATATCTTACATATATATATATATATATATCCACTATGTTACTCGGCTCAGTAATCTCAATTTCTTTATCCTTATATGTTTGTAAATTGGGCACTTTTTGCTTTAAAAGTTATTGAATTATGTTGTGCTTATCTTCTGGTTAAGATTTTTATGCCTTTAGTAAATCTGCATGCGATATTTTTAGAATTATTAACAATTTAAAAGTTGTTCAAGTGCCGCTAGGCCTTTTGCAATGGCGGCAATGTTTACATTAAAAACAGCAGAATAGTAGATTTGTTGCCAATCATGCTTTATCCTTTCTGGAATTTTTTCGAGGAAATAAGTGTTTAAGATTTACTTCGTAATTTTTAATATAGAGATTTTGAGTTTTTATGTATTTTTGTCTTGTCGCGAAGTGAGAACTGAATTAATTAATTTAGAAATACTAAATCATCTGTGAAATTTTTTTCTTAAGTTCTTTTATACATCATTTTAGATTTATTATAGTATTTCAATAGAATATATGACAATGATTAGATAATTCTTAAGATGATATAAATTTTGTGCATTCTGAGTTAAAAAATAAATGAAATTTAACGCTGTTAAGTGAACCTAGGGCCAGAGTGTAGCTATGGTAAACAAATATAGTGAATTTTAAAGAGTGCATTTATTCTATTGTTGTTTATGCGCTAATGACGAAATAAATTTAATTCAATCCAATAAGTTTAGATGAAATGCAAAAAAAAAATGCATATAATTTAATATTCCGTACAAGGAAGTCGTGGTGTACACATCAGATTTTTTTAAATTAAAATCCTGTGAAAGTACCCATTTTTATATTCCTAGTTATATTTATATTAAAATAGTTAAATTCTGTTCTGTTTAGAAGGGTGTTTTTTTTTTTTTTTTTTTTTCTTTCTTATTGTGAAATGCTATCATTCAATTAATGTATCAAAAACAGCAATGGACAGATGTGATCGCATTAAGCAGCACCTTATGTATAATCAAGTACATCATTATAAGTCATTTTAGCAAAAAAATTCTTACCATATAACGATCATTCATTAAAATAAGTAGGAAAAAAAATAGTGTGAAAGTAACTTGAAATAAAATAATGATTTGTTTTCATTTTAACCCTCCGAACATGGGATCCATAAATAATGTGCTCACCTGTTACATGGGGAATGTTCTCATCGTATCAGAAAAAAATGAAGTGATCAGTTTCACAAGATAAAGGGGTAAGAATTTTTTTATACTATTACGAATGTTGTACCCATGGTCAGAAGGCTAATTTAGTAAGTAACAACATCCCCTTCCCCCACTTCTCTGCAAAAGGATACCTCACAAGGCTCATAACGAGGCCTCACAGTGTACTTCATAACTCAATATTAAATACACAATACACATTCAAAAAAATGTTTAATAAAGTAAACAAATAAATATTAAGTTTTTTTTGTAAATTTTGATACCCTTCAGATCATAATTGCTCTTTATTTCATAAATTATGGTTTCATATTTTTTACTGTATAATTTCTGTATGCCATCTTACCAGATTTAAATTGATGATCTATAATCCGGAATCACCGAAGTCCCGACAAGTCTGGATTAAAGACTTTTAACTGTATTAGTAATCTGATAAAATTCTTTACGCAGCACTTTCTCCCCACTTGTTATTATTACGCACTTTGTACTGTATATGAAATTTCGAACAAGTATCTGTTTAAACATTTTGTTTTCCCAAAATGATCTTTCATTGCAGCACAAGAAGAGTGTTCCAATGGTAGTAAAAACCAACATCATATTATGGTTTTCTGACAAAAGTTTTCTAATATGATGATAACTTTGTCTTCGAGAAATCTAATCACAATTTTTCTTCATCATTTGACAGTTACAAATTGCTTAATTAACAAAAAAGCAGTTGAAATTGCTGAAAGGAAAATTACAGGACTGATGATCGATGCTCCTTTTTTCCAATTATTCATACTGATTGCATAACTATTCAAAAAGTTAAATAAACAAGTTACCACATTAAGAATTTTGGTGCATACTTACTGATGCCACATAAATTTAAAAGCATCAAAAAGAATATATTGGAACTAGCATCTCCATTATATCTTCAACATGGACATTAATTTTAAATATGATAATCTTTTTAGAAAAATGAATATGCCATTTACCTAAATTTAAACTATTGCATATCAGAAAAATTCACTGCTATATATATTCTAATATTAATAATAAAGAAAAAGAGAGAATTACTATACTTTCATACCTAATTCTTCCCATACTGCTACAGTTCTGTCGAAGGAACATGTGGCAATAATTTGTCCGAACTCGGGATGTGCCCAAGTTACTTTCCAAACAGATCCACAATGAGTCTACAGTAAAAGATACAACATAGGCTTTCAAATTTCTAAATAATTAATATAGAAAATTAAATTTTATTCTAAACAAAATTATTTTATTTGAGTTCAAAAATAAGAAGATTAAACAGAAAAGTACTTTTTGATTATTCACACCCTGCACGTAAAATTCACAAACTCATTGCTCCATTTGGAGAGAATTCATGAAATCATTCACAATCTTGGAGAAAAATATTAATTTGAGTTATCCATTTCAAAGATGCATCCAGTAACACCCTTTATTTATGTTCTTTTCTGCAGATAACATGCATACTTCTCGGAGGCATTATACCAATCGTCATATTTGGGAATAATGTAGTAAATGAGTTACAGTTATCTTCAACCTAGTTTCTAACTTGTATTCTAATACTTTGCTCGGAAGTTTTCACATTGTATTTTCATAAAAATTTGGTCGTTTAAAAAGTACACCTTCAAATTTTTACATTTTCTATTCTTGGACATAATGGCATATTTCTGAAGAAATGCAGTGCTTTCTTTTTTCTCAGCCAGCAAACTCTACAATCTGTCCCAGCAAAAACAATGTAATAATAATTTTAACAATGTAATTAAAATTAATGAAAAAATACTACTAAAAAAAAGACTTGAATACTTTTTACCAATTCTGTAGGTTGCCACATAAAATACTTTTTGGCAACATGCTGCTCTGCTTCATTAATTGCCTCATTTTTGTAATATTTTGGTAAGACTGTGGACAATCAATCAGAAAGTACCAAAAGAATAGATATTTTCATTGGAAAAGATGGTTAAGATAAAACTATAGATTTACCTAACATTCATGAATACTTCCTTACTATTACAGTACAAAGTCTATAATCCGGACGTCCATAGTCCGGAATGATCTATAATCCGGACCTCAAAGTTACAAACTTTATGCACATACGTAAATGCATTATGCATTTACGCATGTGCATAATGTGTTTACACATGCATGTTCAATGTATAACAGATGGTATAAGCTAGGCTAAAATTATCTAAGGCATTTCAGTTAATGTTGCAGATTGCCCTGTTCCTTAATCTTCTAATTGGATCCGGCTTATTATTTTTTGCAGACTGTTAGATCAATTTTATAAAAATTAACCTTGAACTTTCGATTATGTCAAAAAGAGTTTCCAATTCTGGAGCTGCCAATGGAACTACAAAGCGAAAGCATGTTTCGATGTCCAATAAACAAAAAGTGGAATTGCTGCAAAAAATGGATAAAGGCTTATCCGTCTAAAAATTATGCGAGAAGTACGGCATTGGAAAGTCTACTACATATAACACACGAAAAAGGAACTTTTTGAATTTTTTGTGGAACCATCTTAAACAACTTACATTGAAAGAAATGTTTAATAAAGTAAACAAATAAATATTAAGCTTTTTTTTTTTTGTAAATTTTGATACCCTTTAGATCATAATTGTTCTTTATTTCATAAATTATGGTTTCATATTTTTAATTGTATAATTTCTGCATGCCATCTTATCAGATTGAAATTGATGATCTATAATCCGGAAAAAACCCTTATCCGGAATCGCCAAAGTCCCGACGAGTCCGGATTACGGACTTTGTACTGTATATGGCCCATTTTTAAACGACGAAAAGATTATCAATAAATCACAAAATTATGTCATAATCATGATCACTTAGAGTTTTCTCACGGTGCGAAGAGCACAAACTAAGTCATGTGTTATCTTATTTTCTTTTTTCATGTACATGTTAACAATTCATGATCACTTATAACTTGCTCACTCAGCTGAATATTCTGTAGGTTAACATATTTCTCTTTTTCCAAAATATTTTTACTTACTGACTGACAAAGATGCTAGACGTTTCTTTGAAGAAAGACAGCTCATATGGGGAAAAAAAAAAAAAAAAAAAAAGTTGGCATATTTCTTCCACAATACTTGATATAGGCAGATTATGCTGCCAAACTGGAAATTTTTTTCTCATTCAGGTTTCATCTATTAGAAAACACATTCTCTGCAAAAACAGTGAATTATGTACAAAAGATGATTCATTCAGACTGTTAGCAAGCATTTCACACAGAAAGTGAAAGAAACTGATTAGACACATTTTACTGGGAATTTAAATTTCATTTTCTAGATAAGACCTGCTCATACACAAATGTTGAAAGACTGTTGGGCAGCAGAATAAAAAGCAACAAGATTCGGCTCACCATACAGCATCTTGAGTCCTACATCATAGAGTTCATGTCATAGAAGTCCTTGGAATGTGAAAAATGCTTTTGATGCCATATTAAAAGCAGTAACTTGTCCAAAAATATGACACACACAAAATACATATTAGAAGTAAATATGAACTTGGTGATACTTTCGACTCTATTTAAATAATAATATATTAAATAATGCTAATAAGAAAGGACTTGTTCATTTATTATGAAAAAATGATACAATAAACATAATTTATTGAACTCATTAATTTTAAGTGGTCCTTTTCTATTGTCAGGACTGGATACAAAAATGTATGCATGCACATACATGTATATGCGTGTGTACAAACACACATATACATACATACATATATTTCTGAATGCGATACTAATAACAGGTAAGTACCTAACAGCATATCTATTGTCAAAATATGTAACAGCGTTTATTTATAAAATATTACACAAGATTTATTCCATTAAATTAACAAAATTTGTATCTTCCAAAATTTTATTTTGCAATGGAAAGGAGCAGCAATTTTTTAAAGTAAGGCAGACTAAGAATTCCATACAAGAGCAATCATTCAAAAAAATTGGAAACTTTAGTACTAAAACTGGCCTAGGTTGCCACATAAATATCTTTTAGTACCATCATGAGTAGCCTTATAACTATTTTAGCAACATACTTCTTTGCCTCAGGAATACATTTCCATGACTGTTTGGCAGGAGGCATGGAAAATCGGAGAGTACTAAAATTTTTATTAATTAAAATACTGCAGCTAATGCTCATAAAATTTCGAAAAACCTAGAATGAGAGGAAAGGGTTTATATCGAAATGTAACAGTAAATCGAAACAGTAAAATTTATGAAGAATTCTCACAAGTTTACATTAAATATTGTATCAGTTATTAAAAAATAAAGAAAATTAATTTTAAAGAAAAGCATTTATTATTTTTAACTTTCTGTATTAAGCACTGACAGTGGATTAAATTTAAAAGATAAACAATAAATCTCTTTGTGCAAAAAATAGTAGAACTTCAAGGCTTCATTCAAAATAAATTAAAAACCTCATTTTTTTTTCATAAAATGACCAAACCTGCCAAAGATAATGGATGATATATCCTTGGTAGCATATTATAATGTGAAGAACATAATGTAAAACATTCTTAAAAGACTCTGTCCTATGGATAGTTTTAATATCAAAATTATACTTTTGAGTTTAACTAATTTTTTGCATTATTTTCATCTTTCCCTGAATAATTTGCAGGTGAATGGCACTATATATTATGTAATATTTTATTATGTGAGTCTACAACTAGCTAAATCGCATGGAAATCTTTAACTGTTGCTGATGCCCTTACTAATAAATTTCCTGAAATATGGCCTTTTTCTCCCTCTTTCCAGCACGGCTTTGTGGTGTAACAGTAGCACACTTGGTATATATTTGAGAGGTCCAACTCCCGAAGAGGACTTTGCTCATTTTTTGTCTCCTGCTTCAAAATAGCCTAATGACTCTACAACCAAATTAAATATCAGAAGGTTACATTTAAAATTATATAAGATTTTGAAAAACAAAAGTACATTTTAGCCATAAAAAGCAATCTGTTTCAATTGCTATGATATCCTGCTACACATGAAAGTTATCATCATTCATGCTTAAGACACAATAACACGCCGAATAAATACTAATTCAGAAGTCAAACAACAAAAATCAGCGTTAATTTGCAAAATTTTCACAGGACTAGTTTCGATGGTTTTACCGAACCATCATCTTCAGCTGCAAAACCGCAAATGAACAAGATAGGAAATAATGTTTAGATAAGATAAGAAAGCCTGGACAAGAATAAGCAAGTGGCGCCATCTGTTGGCGAAACCAGAACTAAAACATAATTTCTCTAAAAGCCGAAGGCAAATTTGGATTGGAATTAGGATCGTTTAGAACAGAAAGATTTTTATGAATGTGAAATGCCTCTAGAAAATCCAGTTCTCCAATGGAAGATGTTTTTTGAATAATTTTGGCAGCAGAAAAATTGAAAGTGTGATTTTCGGACCAACAATGTTGAGCAACAGAAGACTTCTGTGTTTCCTTTTTTCTAACATATGCTTCATGTTCTTTGACACGAAATTTTAAGGCTCTCTTAGTTTGGCCAATGTAAATTAAACCGCACTGGCAAGGAATCCTATAAATACCCCAGGAATTCATATCCGGAATGGGGTCCTTGAGTATAGAAGTTGGAATTTTATTGATGGGAGAGTAAACAACCCGAAAGTTAAATTTCTGCAAAATATGTGCAACTTTATAGCTAATTGATGGAAAGAAGGGAATGACAACAGAATTTTTATAATCTCCTAAAATAAGAGTGTGGCTTTTGGTGTGTTGAGATGAGAATTTTTTAACTGCTTGATTAATAATGTTGGGTGAAAAGCCCCTGTCAATAGCTATTGCTTTTAAATAATTTAGTTCTTCATCAAGGGCCAGTTTGGAGGAGCAAACTTGAAGAGCACGGAAAACATAGGAATAAAATGAAGCTAACTTTTGTTTAGTCGGATGACATGATTTAAAGTGTGGTGGAAGGCAAACTGATGAAGGTTTACGGTAAACTGTAGTACTGAAGTTGGATGTGTTACGTGTGACCAGAATGTCGAGAAACGGAAGAGAATTGCAAGTCTCAAGTTCAAAAGTGAACTGAATAGCAGGATCAATAGAATTCATTGTTGAAAGAACTCTATTTAAATCATCTTTATTAGCTTCAAACAGGGTAAAAGTATCGTCTACGTAGCGGAACCATGCTGGGAAGTTTAAAGTTTCAAACAATTTTGATTCATAATAATGCATGTAGATATCAGCCAGGATGGGACTGAGGGGGCTTCCCATGGCTAATCCCTCAGTTTGCTTGTAATATTTATTTTGGAAAACAAAATGTGTTTGTTTCAAACAGAGTTGAGTGAGAGAAATTAGCTCATCAATTTCGATGCAAGAGAAATGAAATTCGCGAAGTCTGGTTTCTAGATATCTTAATGCACCCTCCACTGGGACATTGGTGAATAATGATTTTACATCAAAAGAAACCATGAGTAAATTACGAGGAGAAATGTTTTTAACCTTTTTTACAAACTCTATTGAATTTTTTATGGTGTAAATGTTATTGTCTAATAGAGTGGAAAATCTAGAAACTAAATATTTAGCTAATGGATACGAGGCAGTACCTAAATTTGATACAACAGGGGGGAAAGGAATACCACTTTTATGAATTTTGGGAAGAGCATATAATCTGGCACAATTCGCAACAGATGGGATAAGCGAATGTTTTAAGTTGCTTGAAATGATTTGCGAAGATTTGATTGCAGTTTTTATTTTGGATAAGTCCGAAGGTGAAGGATCTTTAGGGATCGGATTATATGGTCCTTCGTTTAAGAGTTTAGTGACACCATCGATGTAAGTGTTCTTATCCATGACGACTATCTGGCCACCTTTGTCGGCCTTTGAAATGACAATATCCGGGTTAGAATGAATCTCGCGCATTGTAGCTCTTTCTCTCGCAGTTAGATTTGGTTTCAAAGGTTTATTATTGAATTTCACATTATGAGCGATAAGATGCCTAATCATTTCTTATCGCTCATAATGTGAAATTCAATAATAAACCTTTGAAACCAAATCTAACTGCGAGAGAAAGAGCTACAATGCGCGAGATTCATTCTAACCCGGATATTGTCATTTCAAAGGCCGACAAAGGTGGCCAGATAGTCGTCATGGATAAGAACACTTACATCGATGGTGTCACTAAACTCTTAAACGAAGGACCATATAATCCGATCCCTAAAGATCCTTCACCTTCGGACTTATCCAAAATAAAACTGCAATCAAATCTTCGCAAATCATTTCAAGCAACTTAAAACATTCGCTTATCCCATCTGTTGCGAATTGTGCCAGATTATATGCTCTTCCCAAAATTCATAAAAGTGGTATTCCTTTCCGCCCTATTGTATCAAATTTAGGTACTGCCTCGTATCCATTAGCTAAATATTTAGTTTCTAGATTTTCCACTCTATTAGACAATAACATTTACACCATAAAAAATTCAATAGAGTTTGTAAAAAAGGTTAAAAAACATTTCTCCTCGTAATTTACTCATGGTTTCTTTTGATGTAAAATCATTATTCACCAATGTCCCAGTGGAGGGTGCATTAAGATGTCTAGAAACCAGACTTCGCGAATTTCATTTCTCTTGCATCGAAATTGATGAGCTAATTTCTCTCACTCAACTCTGTTTGAAACAAACACATTTTGTTTTCCAAAATAAATATTACAAGCAAACTGAGGGATTAGCCATGGGAAGCCCCCTCAGTCCCATCCTGGCTGATATCTACATGCATTATTATGAATCAAAATTGTTTGAAACTTTAAACTTCCCGGCATGGTTCCGCTACGTAGACGATACTTTTACCCTGTTTGAAGCTAATAAAGATGATTTAAATAGAGTTCTTTCAACAATGAATTCTGTTGATCCTGCTATTCAGTTCACTTTTGAACTTGAGACTTGCAATTCTCTTCCGTTTCTCGACATTCTGGTCACACGTAACACATCCAACTTCAGTACTACAGTTTACCGTAAACCTTCATCGGTTTGCCTTCCACCACACTTTAAATCATGTCATCCGACTAAACAAAAGTTAGCTTCATTTTATTCCTATGTTTTCCGTGCTCTTCAAGTTTGCTCCTCCAAACTAGCCCTTGATGAAGAACTAAATTATTTAAAAGCAATAGCTATTGACAGGGGCTTTTCACCCAACATTATTAATCAAGCAGTTAAAAAATTCTCATCTCAACACACTAAAAGCCACACTCTTATTTTAGGAGATTATAAAAATTCTGTTGCCATTCCCTTCTTTCCATCAATTAGCTATAAAGTTGCACATATTTGCAGAAATTTAACTTTCGGGTTGTTTACTCTCCCATCAATAAAATTCCAACTTCTATACTCAAGGACCCCATTCCGGATATGAATTCCTGGGGTATTTATAGGATTCCTTGCCAGTGCGGTTTAATTTACATTGGCCAAACTAAGAGAGCCTTAAAATTTCGTGTCAAAGAACATGAAGCATATGTTAGAAAAAAGGAAACACAGAAGTCTTCTGTTGCTCAACATTGTTGGTCCGAAAATCACATTTTCAATTTTTCTGCTGCCAAAATTATTCAAAAAACATCTTCCATTGGAGAACTGGATTTTCTAGAGGCATTTCACATTCATAAAAATCTTTCTGTTCTAGTTAACGATCCTAATTCCAATCCAAATTTGCCTTCGGCTTTTAGAGAAATTATGTTTTAGTTCTGGTTTCGCCAACAGATGGCGCCACTTGCTTATTCTTGTCCAGGCTTTCTTATCTTATCTAAACATTATTTCCTATCTTGTTCATTTGCGGTTTTGCAGCTGAAGATGATGGTTCGGTAAAACCATCGAAACTAGTCCTGTGAAAATTTTGCAAATTAACGCTGATTTTTGTTGTTTGACTTCTGAATTAGTATCATTCATGCTGTTAGAAGTTTAAATGAACGGAACAATTTAGTTAGATAATAAAGAGTGATAAATTATTGATATAGCATATAAAAGCTTAAATGAACTTATCGTAATTTTTTATGTTGCATTGCCACTGTTTATCCACTTTCAAAGTTGTGTATTGTGGTTTTTTTTTATGCCCAGATCCTGTAAATTTGAAAATACTCCACTTATTGCAGTCCCAAATATTAATCTCTTTTTTCCCCTTCCCCCCAAAATGCAAGGGAAAAAATAGAACTTATTTCTTTACAAAAATTAACCCAACTTATCAAAAGTTAATCAAGTTTATATTTAAACCAAAATGAACTCCTTATTGATTGTATTGGGATGGCATGCTTATAGACTAATCACATCATTTGGTGACAACAAAAACGTATTAATAGTATTACAAGCTCTATAATGGTATTACAAATCTCTCATGTAGGGAAATTTTTTTCCTAAAATTATAAAGTATTTCAGGCACATGAGCCTTCTGGCTCATTGAATGCCAGTTAGACTTTTACTATACTACACAGATACTTTTACTATACTACACTATTCAAGAAAGAGAGCTATAAATTTGCAATAATCTCATCTATTCCATTATTTCAGCAAACACCACAAGCCTGCATCATCTTTATAAACAATTTAAAATGTATTTAAATGCTTATAAAAATATAAAATCAGTATATCAAAATATTTTTGCTCTTGAAGACTAGAGATCTATATACAATAAACTAATAGTTATAAATATAAACTGATATTTTTATTTAAAACATGCATTATTCCAAAACTGCTTTCTTGCCTAATTCTAAATTTTATATTAGTGTAGTTTTCTTCCAATTAGAAATTTAGTGATTAGCTATTTTTTCATAACTGACTGAAATACATGTACAAAGAAAACAGTTGAACATAGAAGTACTGAAAATTGTAAAAAACATTAGCTATATATTACCTTCCATGATGCAGTACAATGCCATTGCTTATCTTCTCCTAGATCCCAGATCTGTAATGATATATTTCGTAATGATATATTTGATAAAGTTAAGTAATATTTATGAAGACTAATGTTGAGAATTTCTGTCCAATAACAAATGATATATTTGAAGGTTACATAATGTCATTTATAAATTTTTTTGTCCAGTAGCAAACACACTGAAGCACATTAGAACCAATTGGTTTTAAAAGATGCCATAGATTTTATTGAAATGCTCAATACAAGTTTATTGTCAAACTAACTTATTTCTACAAGTTTGTTATCAGACTAAATTTTCATTTTATACAATTAAAAATAATTATCACTATACATATATTTAATTTTAAAATTCTTACTTTAATCAATTTCTAAAAAATGAAACTGCGACAAATTGAAATTTTAATATGCAGTTTAAAATTTATACTTCTTGTTACATATATTTTAATAACATCTTGAGAGATTTCCATACCTCAGAAATGTGCCAACTCATGATTAGCAATGTTGCATTCCCAATTATGCACTTAAATTGGGTTATACTGTACTCATTTGCTTACAGCAAAAACAGTCAAATGTGCATAGTGTTACAAATTTGGTATTTAAAAAAGCTAGTGTTAGTTCAATTATAAATTAAATGGTTTTATTTCTCGCGCAGTGCAGCGCGTGACGAATATTAAAAGAAAGCTAAGCCGGAAAAATTAAAAATACAAGAGCGCGTGCGTTAAATAAATAAATATCTCTTTTTGATTTCGAGAAAGTACTGGAAAATTCTAGCGCGTGATTTTAAAATCTTATAAAAGGAGGAAAACATCTCAGTTTGTAGTAGTTGCTTAGTTTGTTGTTGTTTAGAAAACTGCCGTTGTTGATCATAGCGAATTCGCGGATTAGCGTTCTTTAGCTGTTTTGAATTACGTTCTATTGTACATTTAAGTAGTTAAAAGATAACTACTGTGAGATATTGTGATACTGCATGATAATTTGAGAAAATTTAAGCATTTGTGTTGTGATAATAATAAATTTTTGTTCATTTTTCATCGGACTTGTGCATTCATTTCATAACGAACCCGTACGCACACAACAATATTTATTTGTTCATTTGGCTGCAAGAAAGAATTATAAAAATTTGGATTTGCTGAGAAAACTAGATGATATATATTATTTTCAACAATCATTGTAAGACCTATGCAAAAATGAATCTAATATACTGTTGTATCCGAGATCAGATAAGCAATGCTGATATACAACATACCTAACTGAAAATTTTAAAATTAATATTATGATAGTTAATTACAAAAAGCCATCCTAATCATATGGATATAAAATCAAAATGCAGCAATAATCAGGTATGTGAGTAAATATTTGACAGCAAAAAATAGTTGTAAAAGAAATCAAGCAACTGATATAGCAATTAAGATGCATAGTCAGGAGCTCCAAGAACAGTATCTATCACTTATGGCATTTCTTCTAAAATGAAGCATCATCTGATGGCATTTCTTCTAAACTGAGAGATAGAGGAAAGATGCCATATTCTTGACCAATGATGCAATATACGTAGGTAAGTTGAAAAAAAAGTTTCCCCTGTCGACTGTGGTCAGAGTTGTGTATGAAAGTCAAAAAATAGAATGAGACATTAAAGATATAACATACCTTTATTTTTCCACATAGGTACCAAGTACATTGAGACATTTGTCATATCGCTTGATAAGCTTCAAAAAGCCCTCCAGGAAAAAATCAGGGCTTTGCATATGGAAGAAGCGTTGAACGGCTTGTTTCACTTCAGTATTGCTTCCAAAGCGCCTTCCCCAGAGATTTTTCTTCAAAGGCGGAAACAGATGGAAGTCGCTTGGTGCGAGATCAGGACTGTATGGCGGATGGTGTAGGCGCTCCCAACCAAGAGTTGCAATATGGTTTGCGTTGCCGTCGCCGAATGTGGTCTGGCATTGTCATCCAACAGCAGAACGCCAGATGTGAGAAGGCCAGGCCGCTTTTTCGGAATCGCCTCTTTCAATTTCGACAGGATGTCACAGTAGCACGTAGCATTGATGGTTCCAACCTCCAAAAAGTCCACCAACAAAACTCCTTGGGCGTCCCAGAAAACTGTGAGGAGCACTTTACCTGCAGAGGGAGTTGTCTTGAACTTCTTTCGGACAGGTGATGACGGATGTTTCCACTCCATAGATGCGGCCTTCGATTCTGGCGTGAAATGGTGGACCCACGTTTCATCCCCCGTCACAATCCGAAACAGAAAGTCATTGCCATCTTCATGGTAACGCACGAGATGTTCCAGGCTGACCCCCATGCGTTGTTCCTTGTGTGTCGAGGTCAACTGTCGGGGCACCCATCGTGCTGACACTTTTCTGTATCGAAGAATGTCATGGATGATGTTTTGAGCTTGCTCATGTGAGATTCCAAGTTCTTCCGCTACTTCATCGATGGTGATACGCCGGTTCGCTCTAATCATGTCATCCACCTTCCTGACATTTGCATCTGTAGTGGCCATGTGCGTCCGTCCAGCTCTCGGTATGTCCTCGACTTGCTGAAGTCCATCACTGAATGTGCGACACCATCTCCGCACCATTTGCTTCGACATCACACCTGGCCCATAGACTTCCACGAGGCGGTTATGAATTTCTGTTCCTGATACTTCACGTGCCCATTCATAGCAGATAACCGCTCTCACTTCCTCCTTTGACCACGAATTCAAAACGCACCTTCTCTCCATACCTACCGGGGCTCAAATGAGAGGCTGGTCTCCGCTTTGCGCAGGCACTGCAACAGCGCCATCTGCTTGATTTGCAGCGACCTCTACCCAATGGTGTATCGGTGACTTGCGCGTTTTCCTGCTGTGTCGCCTTTCGCCCATAGCCGTTCAACGCTTCTTCCATATATGCAAAGCCCTGATTTTTTCCTGGAGGGCTTTTTGAAGCTTATCAAGCGATATGACAAATGTCTCAATGTACTTGGTACCTATGTGGAAAAATAAAGGTATGTCATATCTTTAATGTCTCATTCTATTTTTTGACTTTCATACACAACTCTGACCACAGTCGACAGGGACAACTTATTTTTCAACTTACCCTCGTAGTTGCTTTGCCTTTGAAGAGTGCCGAGTCATAGACAGGGAGTCTTGAAGTACACAATTAGTCAATCTGTTCGATTCTAAAAAATAAATTTTAACTATTTTTTTATAAATTAAAATGTCAATTGGTTTAATGTAAGGTCCAAACAAATCACATCACTATAGATGTACTACGCTGCATTTAGAACTAACCAGAGAGTTTTACTTTAAAAAGCTTGAAGTTTAGTGCAGTCTTTGCAGCTGCATTTAGAACTAACCAGAGAGTTTTACTTTAAAAAGCTTGAAGTTTAGTGCAGTCTTTGCAGCAATATCCTATATGGTATATGTATACATGCTAGCTGATGTATACAAAAGAGCTTTGTTTTTAATTGGCACATTCCTCTTTCAGGCTAATAATGATATAATTGGGTTTTGACCCTATTTCTTTTTTAAGAATAGATTCAGTGTGAAGAAGCCAGAGTGAATTTAAACCTAGGATAACTCTACTACACCACAGGATGCAACCATCAAAATTTTTTTAATTAATTGTAGGGTACAAGAATACAGATATTAAAAGATCATGATAGCACATTCGGTATCATAAATTTTGATTTTCCATCAAATGAACTAGAATTAGAGACTGAAGAGATTTGAGTATTTGATACCAGATAACCCAATCATGAACAGAGCTAAGATGGTTGTGTCACCTGCATAAAGGATTAGAGTGACACTAGGTGAACTTAGTATGTTATTAACACAAATATTGAATAGTAAGCCCTACAAGTGACCCTTGAAATATACCTGCAAGTATTGGATAGGAAGTTGAGATGACAGTATTAGCTCATACAGAAAAAAGATCTTTTATTGAGGTACAAGTACATAATGTGAAAAAATCAAGCTAAAAAATTAGTATGAACTTGATTATGATTCCTATATGCTAGTCCTCTCATTGTTTTGGCTATAAAGACAAACGGCACTAGTTGGGTTGGACAAATTATAACGTCAATACTGGTGATGACAAATTTAAGTCACCAGCATTAATAACACTGAGCAGCTCGTTAAAATTTTCCTCTGGAAAATTAACACTTTACCCATGTAGAGAAAGAAGATTGGCAGAGATCACGATTAAGAAGAGTGAGTTTGAAATAAAAGTTTTAATAACTGTCGCCTCATGTTTGTTCAGACATGATGTGTTGATTCTTCAAATGTGGTACATTATTTTTAATGTAGGCCCCTATGCCATCGTAAAGCATTTCAAGAAGACCAGAATGTGTCTCTCATTAGGGTAAAATTGCAGTCCGCAAGCTTGAGAATTCTTCCTGGATGGAGTTTGGTCTCCTGGACAAGTAAAATATCAAAGGCCCTTCTCAGACACATTCTTCAAGTTTGTGGAGTTTTAGCATAGTGCCACTAACATTCCAGAATTAAGAGTTTGAAGAAAAAGCCTCTAAAAGTATTGAATTTTAATGAATGAGGGAATCAGAAAACCAAGGCATTTGAATGTTACTAAAGACAAGCCTCTATTTTAAGTATTGGAACAGGCAACCATATTTAATTGATTGCTGGTTTTATAATGATCACCAAATAAATATTTTACCAGAAGTCAGCAATTACATCCCCAAATGTATGAAGAATGCTAAAATACATACACAGAAAAACAGTTATGCTGTGATCTATAATAAAAGATCATTTTGTATTAGTATAGTCACAAAAATGCAAGGTGAAAAAGTCTGTGTAAAATTTTTCAAGGGAAGAATTGGAACTAATGCGATGTCTCTCAGTCTGTGGACCATAAGTGGTTCTTAACCGCTTCAGGGCAGGTGTATCATATATGCATCAGCACCTAATCCTCTTACGAGATTACCTTTTAAATTATTGCACCAGTGCAACGCAGCGTGCCATGCACCAGTGCTAGCAACATTTGGGACTGATGCATATATGACACACCCGTCTGCAGAGTGTTTACATGCCGTTG